CCGGGCCCCGGTGGCCGCCGCGCCCCGGAGGCGGCCAGGAGTGCCCTGCGAGCTGCGCGGGGAAAGGGGGCGCCCTCCGCCTGTCGGAACCTGAGCGGGCGCGCCCTCGGGGGAGCCGGCCGGGCGATGGCCGCGAGGCAGGGCTAAAGCGGGCGGCCGCTGAGCGCCCCACACCCTCGCCATGCAGAAGAGCGTGCGGTACAACGAGGGGCACGCCCTGTACCTGGCCTTCCTGGCGCGCAAGGAGGGCACCAAGCGCGGCTTCCTGGGCGGGGTGGAGCCGCTGGCACGAGAAGTGGTTCGCGCTCTACCAGAATGTGCTCTTCTACTTCGAGGGCGAGCAGAGCGGCCGCCCGGCGGGCATGTACCTCCTGGAGGGCTGCAGCTGCGAGCGGGCGCCCGCGCCGCCCAGGGCCGGCGTGGGACCCGCAGGCGCCCGGGACGCGCTGGACAAGCAGGTACGTTGCGCCCTCCTCCCCAGCGTGCTGGCCTCGGGGCGCCGCGCTCCCCTGCTGGTCTGACCCCGGGAATCGCGAGGGCTCGGCCGAGCGCAGGGGCCGTGCCCCGAACTCCCTACGACGTCAGCGGCAGAACAAATCCGCGCGTCTCCCACCTTCATCCAGCGAGTCCCCTCTTCACCCCCCACCCCCCGGCACGTGATCTGTTGGAATGGGGGGCTGCTTGCTTTCTTTTCCCGCTCGGGTAGAGGTCCGATCTTGTCAGCTTCTCTGCGAACCCTCCTTGCTTCTTAGACCTTGCTCAGAAACATCTCGCGTGGTGACGTGTGTTGACACCTGTTGGCTTTAGATTGGCAAGACGAAACTAACTTATTTGGGAAAGTTTGGTTTCTCTCTCAGCCGGCTGGCGCGTGTAGAAATGTCCGCCTGCAGATGCGTGGCCACGGACGGTGCTGGCAGCAAGCCGAGCTTCCAAGACGGACAGGCACTTTTTGCTGCTCATCTTCAATCCGTCTTTGTGGTTTTGGTCAGTTTACCTTGCTAACGTTTGACCTCCTGGGTCTAATTATGAAGGCAAATGTGTATTCCTATTTCCCAAGATTAGTATTTGGTGGCCACATGCTTGCTATGTATAAAAATGTGGGCATTTAAAAAGAACGCTTCTGTATTTTTAAATGAATGCTTTGAAAATGAATGTGACCTTTTAGTTCTGGTCATAATCGTGTTCGTTTTGCTGTGTACTCACTGGGGAGGAGGGAGTAAAAACCCTCTAAGTTTAGTGGTCTTCATCTCCCCATTCCTGCAAATGTGCCATTTGTATTTTCTCAATTATCATTCGGTTATTAAAGTTAAAGCAGACGAATGTTATGCTTCCAAACGTTCTCACTCCTTTGCCTTGGGGGGTGGGGTAGGCTAATTGTCTTTGCTGTTGCACACAAATATTTTGCAGCTGCATTTTCCCATGCAAGTCAGTCCAAACAGCACCTACTGCAAACCACAGAAGCTGTGGGTGAGGCCAGCAATGAAATGCTGAAGATGCCTCTCTGACCCCTTGGGACTTCTAAAACATTGTGTCAAAGTAAGGCATCTTAAAGCCACATCAGCCAGAAGTTCCATTGTTTCACTTCGATATATGTCATTAACAAACAACCGATTAACTTGTTAGGACACTTACAAATCTGAAATTTTAAACAAAACTGCCTTATAGTGTTTTGAGGGTACTTTGACAGTCATTCAAGAAACTGATTTTTCTTTGTAGATGTAGATATTAGAAGGGTAGGCAAACATTTCAAGCCATGTATTTTAGAATTTAAATTGAGAGGTGAAAGAATTTTGAGGTTATTTTTTTCTTTAAAAAGGTAGATGTTCCAAGACCCCACAGGAACCAAAATAAATAGGTTTTTAAGTGTTTTGATGTCTAAAATAAAAGAGAGTACTTTAAGTTGCTATGAATATGTACCATTCACTTAATTCTAAATGATTTGTTGTCTTCATATTTATATTAATATCATGAGATAACCACTTTTGAGGTAGAAGGAGTAGGGGTGAGGTGTTAACTTGTAACAACTTCTATGGCTGTCTGATCTGTTAATGTTATGTGGAAACCTTGGAAAATATCTGGACTCTCATCTTCAGGACAGTTTTCTTTCTTTCTCTCTTTCTTTTTTAAATAATTATTTTATTCAAGTTTATTTATTTATTTATTTAAATTTGACCAGAGAGGGACAGAACAAGAGAGACAGGGAAGGTGAGAAAGCAAGCCACCAGGTCTGGGACTTGAGCCATGGTTGGCCATGTGGGAGTCCAGCACACCACCTGCCAGCCCCAGAACAGTTTTCTTTAAACCACACTTGAATAAAGAAACATAACCTCCAAATAGCTTGATTTTTATGTCACTTTTTATTATTGGAAGTTATAAACAGGTCGTCATGAGAGAAAATTTTTCTGTTAACTAACATACAAGTGTGTATTTCTCTGCCACTTTATGCCTCTTTAAGAGGTTGGAAAGGAGAACCTATGGTGTTTATAGATAAAGCTGTAAAACATGGAGAAACAAACATTTTACAGTGGATTAGGAGTTGGATTGGGAAACTCCCCAGATAATGCCTGTATTAGTTAGGCATGCTTCTGTGACTTGGGTTAGTTTAGCACAGTATAATGCTTTTCTCCAGCACTGTTTGAAGAATGAGGAAGAAACTGTGAAAATGAGAACCAGGGAGAAACTTTCTACCTTTAATCTGCAATTTATGCAGTTGGTTCCTTTTCGGTTAGTTTGTGTTGCTGCTGTGCTTGGATCAGTTGAAACGCTGAGACATGATGAATTTGTGGAACTGGTAAGACAGAGAAGATGGGAGGAGATGAGCAGGTCTCAAGGTCTGCTTCTGCACGTGTGCTTCTAGAATGTTCCATGTAATATTCCCTCAACCCATAATCATGGGTGAAGTTGAGGGCTTTGAAGAGAACATGGAAGGGCTGAGCAATTTTCCTCCACCACATTTCTATGTGAGTTTTTTAGACAAGTCTCTTAACCTGTCATCTCTGCTGCTTCTATTAATGAAATTGCTGTTTCTCCAATATGTAAAAATGAAGAGTTGGGCTGCGATTTTGTCTAAGTGGCCTTCTATCCATGGTTTGCCTTCTATCTATCTATTTTCTGTTTCTAAGTTACTACTGACAGCGAGAGCTTTTTGTTGTGTGCAGGATGTGAAAGACAATTTCACAAGATTTAAAAGATTACCAGTGTCTGTAATAAATACTGCTTCTGAGAAGCTAAGGACAAGTGATTGAAGGGGATGTTCTCATAAATCGGAAACACAAACATATAGCAACATCGTTGCTGAGACAGACTTGCTTCCCGTTCACATTGGAAGGTGACATGTTGCCATGTGTTATTATCATCGATGTAATTCTTGTTATAAATCGTAAATCATTCTTCAGACTTTAACTTCTAGCTCTCCTTCAAATAATTTTTAAATTGTAATTAATTATGTTTTTAGGTAAATTACAAGAAGAAAACTCCTGCTAGTTTGATTCATCTACATAATAATTCAAAGTAGGTTGGTTGAGAAAAGAAAAAAATCAGTTTTTGTTGTTTTTTAAAATTTTTTTTCAGCATTTTGCCTTTAATTGTTTCCAGTGAAGCAGAAAAAAATGAAAGTTTTTTTTTTAACTTTCTAAATATGCCTACGTTGAAGGAATATTGCTCAGTTGTTATTCATAGTGTCCCAGGATTCCACTTTGATAAACACTTGGGTGATTGCTAGACTGTCTTTTCAGCCTTCCTATTGGCTACTTCTTTGCCATAGGAAAAGTGTTATAATCAAGAGGAGTCTACTTAAGATTTTTTGGGCGGCCAGTAGGTGGCGTGGTAGCTGAGGCTCTGGACTCCTGTATGGCCAACCATGGTTTGAGCCTCACAACTGGCAGCTTGCTTTTTCATTTACTTTCTCTCCCTCCCTCTCTCTGGTCCAATAATAATAATAATGAATAAAATGAAATAAAAGTAGTTCTAAAAAAAACCCCTTTTTTTGAAGTAATTCTTAGTATGCCTCTTCTTGAAAATGAATCTAGAGGAGCACTTCTTTCTTTTTTGGAGAAGTTTTTGCTATAGGGCATGTGCGTTCACCAGAAAGACAGAGACAGAGAGACAGAAAGTGAGAAATCATCCCCTGAGGGGGATGGCCACGCTGCAGTTCCTTCTCTTCCATTCTCCTTTTGGGATCTTGGACATGCATGCACACGCACCCCGTGTGAGTTTAAGCCACCGAGTCTGGGACTCAAACCACAGTCTACTACATGAGAGTCCAGCAATGTAGCCATTACTCCATCTGCTGGTCCCATGGGAGCACTTCTTTCTAACAAAGCTCTATTTGTGGGAAGTGAAAAACTTTCCTTTCATCCCAGGTGAAAGTGTTTAAGGGAGACTTGCATTTAGTAAAATACCTTCTGTGTAGTAGGCGCTGTGCTCGCTATCTCATTTAATTTGAACTTTGCTTCAGATCTTACAGATAAGTAGAATATTATTATCATCACTGTTTTCATTTTTACTTATGAGACTCAAAGAATTCTAGGTAGATGATCAAAGTTCAACTCCAGATAAGAAGACTAAATGATGAGGAGTTTCTTACGAAGGAGACTACCTATACTCTGAGCTTCAAGAAATACCAAATTAGTATTAGAGGGGGTCGGGGTATAGTGTATGAATCATTGTTTATTTTTATTTCCTTTTAAAGACTATTTAAATGGCAGTTGTAATTCTTCAGAAATACAATTGTAGACCATTACATATTCAAAGAAAACTGGGATTTATGTTTAAACAAAATTCTACATGGCATTCCTTTTTTTTAGCGGGGAACCTTTAAAAATATTTGCACTTAGAATGACACCTCTCAATTAGTCTAGCCTATTAAGTAGCTGTAACTGCCTTGCTTGCTAGTAGGAAAGATAGCAATATAAACTATCTTTATTCCTATTTTCTTGGTTATCTTAAGTGTTCTATTGAACCTGATTTTTTTGTGGGGGAGGGTGATGGAGGGGGATATCTCCTTCATGCTGGAAGTTTAGAGAAGTAGAGACTTGTCATATTTGTGCTGAATTAAACATGTGGATGTAAAGGCATTAACGGTTACGTGATTCCTCCTGTCGCCTCATCTAAGTCATTTTAACCATCCTAGCTTGACCACAAACAGGATTTTAATCATTTTATTGAATTAGGCAGAACTGCATGCAAGCCCTGAAATATTTGTGGAGGGTGGAGAGCGTGGATGGTGGGTTTTCATTCTGGTTCATGTTATTTGGTTGATTTGTAAAAACCAAGTCAGTATTTTTTTTTTCCAACGCAATATTTTACTTTTAACTTTTGCTTATTTTTAATGCCTTTTATTTAATTAATTAAGTTTAATTTGACCAGAAAGGAACAGAGTGAGAATGAGAGAGAGAGAGAAAGTGAGAAAGCAGGCCATCAGGTCTGGGACTCAAACCACGGTCAGCCATGTGAGAGT